TCTTTGACTTCTTCCCGGCAACTGGCTTACCGGGCGCGGCAACATCTCTGCCGTCCTTCTTGAAGTTCTTCTTACCCTTGCCCTTCTTGAACTTAGTGGTCTTATTGACCATCAACACTTGATGTTCTTTCTTGATTTCAACCTCTGCTGACTTCAGCATTGAAAATACTTCAGGAATGGTCTTCACCATCCCCTGCATATTGTAGTTCATCACAAAGCTCTTGTAGCTTGGTGGGAGCGACTGAAGGATTCTGTCAATGACCGCCTCATCCGGGAGGTTAATGTCCAGCTGGAACAGGCGGTTGTGCAACCCAGACATTTTGAGTATGTGCTCACTGACAGAACTATTTTCCTCCATCTTACAACTATCGAACTTGTCGGAGACTTCATATCTCTCGACCCGGGCATGAGCTTGGAAAACTAGTTTCAGCTCCTCGAACATCTCATATGCTCCGTGTTGCTCAAAATGCTTTTGGAGCCCCGGTTCTAAGCTGTAAAGCATGCCGCACTGAACGAGGGAGTAATCATCAGCACGAGACTGCCAAGCATTCATAATGTCTTGGTTCTTTGGGACGGGAGCGTCACCTAGCGGTCCTTCTAGGACATATTGTTTCCTAGCAGCTATGAGGATGATCCTCAGGTTTCGGACCCAGTCTATATAGTTGCTGCCATCATCTTTCAGCTTGGTTTTCTCTAGGAAGGCGTTGAAGTTCATGTTGACATGAGCGTTGGCCATTTGATCTACAAGACATATTATGCAAAAAGTTTTAGACTAAGTTCATGATAATTAAGTTCATCTAATCAAATTATTTTAATGAACTCCCACTCAGATTAGACATCCCTCTAGTCATTTGAGTGTTACATGATCCGAGTCGACTAGGCCGTGTCCGATCATCACGTGAGACGGACTAGTCATCGTCGGTGAACATTCTCATGTCGATTGTATCTTCCATATGACTCGTGTTCGACCTTTCGGTCTCCGTGCTCCGAGGCCATGTCTGTACATGCTAGGCTCGTCAAGTTAACCCTAGTGTTTTGCATGTGTAGAACTGTCTTACACCCGTTGTATGTGAACGTAAGGATCTATCACACCCGATCATCACGTGGTGCTTCGAAACGACAAACTTTAGCAACGGTGCACAGTTAGGGGAGAACACTTCTTGAAATTTTTGTAAGGGATCATCTTATTTACTACCGTCGTTCTAAGTAAACAAGATGCATAAACATAATAAACATCACATGCAATTATATAATAGTGACATGATATGGCCAATATCATATAGCTCCTTTGATCTCCATCTTCGGGGCTCCATGATCATCTTCGTCACCGGCATGACACCATGATCTCCATCATCATGATCTCCATCATCGTGTCTTCATGAAGTTGTCACGCCAACGACTACTTCTACTTCTATGGCTAACGCGTTTAGCAATAAAGTAAAGTAATTTACATGGCATTCTTCAATGACACGCAGGTCATACAAAAAATAAAGACAACTCCTATGGCTCCTGGCGGTTGTCATACATGCAAGTCGTGATTCCTATTACAAGAACATGATCTCATACATCACAATATATCATTCATCATTCATCACAACTTCTGGCCATATCACATCACATGACAATTGCTGCAAAAACAAGTTAGACGTCCTCTAATTGTTGTTGCATCTTTTACGTGGCTGCAATTGGGTTCTAGCAAGAACGTTTTCTTACCTACGAATAACCACAACGTGATCTTGTCAACTTCTATTTACCCTTCATAAGGACCCTTTTCATCGAATCCGCTTCAACTAAAGTGGGAGAGACAGACACCCGCCAGCCACCTTATGCAACTAGTGCATGTTAGTCGGTGGAACCGGTCTCATGTAAGCGTACGTGTAAGGTTGGTCCGGGCCGCTTCATCCCACAATACCGCTGAAGCAAGATAAGACTAGTAGCGGCAAGCAAGTTGACAAAATCTACGCCCACAACAAAATTGTGTTCTACTCGTGCAATAGAGAACTACGCATAGACCTAGCTCATGATGCCACTGTTGGGGAACCTTGCAGAAAATTAAAAAAATTTCCTACGGTTTCACCAAGATCCATCTATGAGTTCATCTAAGCAACGAGTCAAGGGAGATGCATCTACATACCACTTTGTAGATCGCGAGCGGAAGCGTTCAAAAGAATGGGGTTGAAGTAGTCGTTCTCGTCGTGATCCTATCACCGGAGATCCTAGCGCCGAACGGACGACAACTCCGCGTTCAACACACGTACGGAACGCATGACGTCTCCTCCTTCTTGATCCAGCAAGGGGAAATGAGAGGTTGATGATGATGGCTCGAGCAGCAGCACAACGGCGTGGTGGTGGTGGAACAGCAGCACTCCGGCAGGGCTTCGCCAAGCACGCGACGGAGGAGGAAGAGGTGTAGCAGGGGGAGGGGGCGCCAGGACTTCAGGGTGCTGTAGCCCCTCTCCCCCCCTCCCTTTATATAGGCCCCCAGGGGGGGGGCGGCGCCGGCCCTGGGAGATTCAATCTCCCAAGGGGGCGGCGGCCAAGGGGGGAGGAGTGCCCCCCAAGGAATGTGGTGCGCCCCCCCCCCACCCTAGGGTTTCAATCCTAGGCGCAGGGGGTGGGCCTAGGGGGGCGCACCAGCCCACTATGGGCTGGCTCCCCTCCCACTTCAGCCCATGGGGCCCTCCGGGATGGGTGGCCCCACCCGATGGACCCCCGGGACCCTTCCGGTGGTCCCGGTACAATACCGGGTGACCCCGAAACTTTCCCGATGGCCGAAATACCACTTCCTATATATAATTCTTTACCTCTGGACCATTCTGAAACTCCTCGTGACGTCCGGGATCTCATCCGGGACTCCGAACAACATTCGGTATACTGCATACTCATATTCATACAACCCTAGCGTCACCGAACCTTAAGTGTGTAGACCCTACGGGTTCGGGAGACACGTAGACATGACCGAGACGGCTCTCGGGCAATAACCAACAGCGGGATCTGGATACCCATGTTGGCTCCCACATGCTCCTCGATGATCTCATCGGATGAACCACGATGTCGAGGATTCGAACAACCCCGTATACAATTCCCTTTGTCATTCGGTACGTTACATGCCCGAGACTCGATCGTCGGTATCCCAATACCTCGTTCAGTCTCGTTACCGGCAAGTCACTTTACTCGTACCGTAATGCATGATCTCGTGATCAAACACTTGGTCACTTTGAGCTCATTATGATGATGCATTACCGATTGGGCCCAGAGATACCTCTCCGTCATACGGAGTGACAAATCCCAGTCTCGATGCGTGTCAACCCAACAGACACTTTCGGAGATACCTGTAGTGCACCTTTATAGTCACCCAGTTACGTTGTGATGTTTGGTACACCCAAAGCACTCCTACGGTATCCGGGAGTTACACGATCTCATGGTCTAAGGAAGATATACTTGACATTGAAAAAGCTCTAGCAAAACGAACTACACGATCTTGTGCTATGCTTAGGATTGGGTCTTGTCCATCACATCATTCCCCTAATGATGTGATCCCATTGTCAATGACATCTAATGTCCATAGTCAGGAAACCATGACTATCTGTTGACCAACGAGCTAGTCAACTAGAGGCTCACTAGGGACATGTTATGGTCTATGTATTCACACGTGTATTATGATTTCCGGATAATACAATTATAGCATGAATAAAAGACAATTATCATGAACAAGGAAATATAATAATAATGCTTTTATTATTGCCTCTAGGGCATATTTCCAACAGTCCCCCGCTCGGGTTGGTGGTGGTCCAGGCTACGGGTCCCACGGAGGCGGCTGCTCCTCCGGTGGCGCGACGGCTGGGCGGCGTGGCGAATAGGCGCGGCAACGGCGGCGGCCTCGCGACGTCCAGCGGTGGGTCGAGGCTAGGCGGTTGCGACCACTCTATCTTGCTCGTGCGGCTCCGGCTTCCGGCGGTTCAGATCTGGTGCGGCTTGACTGTAGCCTTCCGGCGGCGGCTTTGGCTATCCTCCGGCCCTCCGAGGCTAGGCTTGGGGCGAGGTCGTAGTCTGGTCAGGCCCTCCCTTGCCTCCAGATTAGCGATGTGGGCTCCATGCCGTCGGGCCTGGCCGGGCTCCTGCCGACGGTGATGGCGATGATGTGGCGGCTCTTGGGATCCGGGGCGGCGGCCCCGGGTATGGTGGTGGCAGCTCTGGCCAGGAGGTGGTGCGAATCTGGTCGCGGTGGATCGTGGGATCCCGTGGCTAGAGTGAGGTCGGCCTCGGCAGGGGTGGTGGTCAGTGGGCGGCGGTCGGTGGTGACAGGTTCTTGCTTCGGTCTTCACCGGAGCCGTCGACGGCGGCGCCCGCGGGTGCCATGATCTTTCTTGGAAGCGTCGTCGTGGAGTTGCTCCTTCTCCTCACGGCTTGGGCTCCGGAGGGAAACCTCAGATCCGTTGGATCGTGCGATGGAGGCGTCTTCGCGTCTTTCTCCTCCTTGGAGGCATCGTCTCGGAGCCGGCTACGACTGAGAGACTGGAGGGTGATGGCATCTTCGCAGTCGATGGTGGCATCTTCGCCGCGTGGTTTGCTGAGGCGGGGCGTTGGTTTCTGTTTGGCAACGATGATGGCGTCGAGAGAATCTTGGGTCGCGGCGTGGTCTTCAGTAGTCGGTTCTTCCCGGCGTGTCCGAGGTGCTCTTTTCGGCACGGTCGGCACAAGTCCTGGATATTTCCCCTGTGTTGCTCGTCGTCAAAGTCAGAGCTGTCGGTTGCTTGCGCGTGTGGCCATCCGTTGGCATGTGCCGTCGTGGCTTCTGTCCCATGTCGGTGGCCAGGTTGCCGGTGGTGCCCATGTCATGTGGGTTGTGTTGTATCGGTTTTAGCCCGGTTTTCCGTCAATTAACCAGACAATTCTCTTCTTCTTAATCAATGAAAATGGCAAGTCTTTTGCCTCGTTTAAAAAAAACAATCCTTCCTATATATGGCATTGGAGGCCTTGGCAAGACAACCTTGGCAAAAATGGTTTACAATAGTTCCCAATTCAATGAATACTCCCAAGTGTGGGTTTACGTGTCTCAAACATTTGATTTGATCAAAATTGGAAATTCTATAATATCACAGCTATCAGGGAAAGATAAAGAGAGTGGGTACACTGGAAAGCAGATGATCCATAATTCCCTTGAAAAGGTCCTTGCCAATAAAAAGATTCTGATTGTTTTAGATGACCTGTGGGAAGACAACATATCTCTTTTGGAAGAACTGAAAGATATGTTAAAAGTTGGGGAGAGCAGTAAGATGGTTGTTATAGCAACCACACGAAGTGAAGGTATTGCAAAGAAAATGTCAACCATCCAACCATACAAATTAGCACCATTGACTGATAATATGTGTTGGTCTATTATAAAGCAAAAGAGTGCATTTGGATCTAGAGGTGACAAAGAACAATTGGAGGAAATAGGGAAGGTCATTGCAATGAAGTGTGCGGGTGTGGCTTTAGCAGCTCAATCACTTGGACACACGCTGCAATCTATGAAGTCTGGTCAATGGGAATCAGTGAGAGATAGTAATATCTGGACTGCACCTTCTTTGGAAGATACATCTTCTACACAAGTGCTTGCATCACTGAAGTTAAGCTACAGTGTTTTGCCTTCGTATCTGAAGCTATGCTTTGCCTATTGTGCAATATTTCCAAAAGGTCATAAGATACTTAAAGATGATCTTGTTCATCAGTGGGTTTCTCTTGGTTTCACTTCCTGGGAGCTCGGCCAGAGATACATTAATCAGCTTTTGGGCCTCTCTTTTCTTGATCCTTTCAAGTCACCATCCGTGAGTTTATTCATACCTTTTACGATTTCTTTTCATTAGTCTGTTGGAACTGGTGTAAGGTAATTAACTCAAGTATAGTTGTAAAGTACACAACCTGATTGATATTGAAACTATACTATAATTCTAAAATCGCCGAGAATGATTTGGAGTACATGACTTAATCATTGCTTACAGTGCAACTTTCCGAGATAATTTTGACAATATCTCAACGATTGATACGCACAAATGCAACCCAATACATCCCTAGAATATTCAATTATTGGTTTTACTGCAGCATGCTATACTAACAAAAAGTACACATTAGTAAGTACTCCCCTGATCTAGTATAAAGTTGAACTAAAGCAGCAACAAGTAATATGGATCTGAGGGAGTACTAAGGCCGGCGGGAAAATCGTAATATCCTGTTGTAAGAAATGCCCACCCCAAGGTCTTTAGTTTGCAACTTCGCATCCACATGTGGCATATGCATTTGCATAAACACAGTCTCTTACTTACACATGCTATTGGGCTTACTGTGACTAGCATGATTACTTGGTGCGAGAAGCTAATCTCCCTGTTCTTTTTTCAATATTGTTTTAGAATCAATCTTTTTACAACGTTAATCGTAAATATACACCAACATATTTTGGTTCACTGTAGCGGCTATGGATATTCAGGACTGAAACACCCATTCGATGCTGTTTTGAAAACCATCATGGAGAATCACCCCTGGTATACATGCAAACCAGATAGTACCATCACAAAATACAGAACCGTTCAGACATACTCCCTTCGCAACTTAATATAAGACATTTTTTGACATTGTCACAGTACCAAAAATGTTTTATATTAAGTTACAGAGATAGTACATTATACTAACGGTTTTGCCAGCCACCGGTACTCGCGGGACAGAGATAGCTCTAGCTAACACACATGGACAGAATAACCCGCCAATGAACACATGCATCAAACGTGGGTTACCAGCCTGTGATGTGGATCACCAGCCACAACAAAATAGGTGAGACGGTCAACCAAGGCAATCGCATCAGCCAAAAGTATAATAATAATTTTCCTGCTAGCGAGCTCACATTACAAAAGCATTGCTGTAATTCCTTTCATACATAATGGTCAAATAGACAAATACACGTTTCTGTACAACTAAGAATAAGTTCGTACATATAAATATACTAGATCAGAGGTTGAAATTGTGGTTGCTGCCGCCGGATCTGATGTGATAGGTTGTTCCGTACTAGTGAGAGACTGAAAAATTGTGGTTGCTGCCGCCGGATCTGATGAGGCAGGCTGCCTGTTGCAGCTACCTCGCATGGAGGCCGAGGCCGCCTACCACCTGCCTACATAGGACCGAATCTAAACTTGGGAAATAGCAGGGGGCACAAATAAAATTTAGTATTTAATAAAGGAGTTGACGCATAAAATGTTTTAGATTTAAGGAATGAAGTCATAAATTGTTTTAATATAAAAATCCAAAACTCTGACAGTTCTTAATGATTTTGTTGCAGACTTTTGAGTTATATGATGAAGATGTTATATTGTTGACAATGCATGACCTGGTGCATGATTTAGCAACATCTGTCATGGAGGATGAAATTATTTTTGTTGACAAAGTCAATAATGCTGAAAGAAGCCACTACCACTATGCATTGCTAGATGATTGTAGCAAGCCATTGGGATCGGACTTATCCAAGATAAGGGCGTTGCGTTTTATGGGTTGTGACAAATATAAACTTCATGATGACGCATTTTCATCTGCCAAATCTTTGCGTGTCTTGGACTTAAGTGAATGCACCATACATAAGCTGGCATACTGTATTGGTGACCTGAAGCAATTGAGATATCTTAACACTCCAAGAGTCCAAGATACAAAGATTCCAGACAGTATCACCAAGCTCTCAAAATTGATTTACCTGAACCTTCATGGATCTCCTACAATCTTAGCATTACCAGAGTCAATTGGAGAAATTGAGGGTCTATTGTACCTTGACTTGTCAACTTGTTCCGGAATTACAAAACTGCCAAAATCATTCAGAAGGCTACAAAAGTTGGCGCATTTGGATTTATCAAATTGCTCGTATGTTGAAGGAATATCGGTGTTCTTGGAGAGCCTCACACAAATAGAGTATTTGAACTTGTCATACTGCCCAAATATCGGAGATATACCAGAAGTTCTGGGCAGCCTATCCAAACTGCAGTATTTAAACTTATCAAGCAGCTCATATCTTGAATGTGGTAAAGAAGCAGAATTTTTGGGTGCCCTCAAAAAACTCGAGTATTTGAACTTATCTTCGAGGGAATGTGGACTCAAAAAGCTCCCTGAATCTTTGGGCGGATTCAGTCAACTTAAGTACTTAAACTTATTAGGTTGGGGAGATATGAAAAAAATGCCAAGATTATTTGGGAGTCTGAAGAATCTGCTCCATCTTGACTTATCATGTTGTTATATGGTTGATGGTGTACATGAATCTTTGGTCGGTTTACCAGTCTGCAACATTTGAATTTACAAGATACACAGCTCATTTCACTGCCAGATGATCTGACCAACCTCCGGTGTTTAAAGCTATCTCGAATGCGAAACATATCAGTAGATACATTCAATGGTGCAAAAACCTGGGATAGTCTCATCAACCATATATGCAATAATCTTTCCGATCTGGAGCATTTGGACTTGTCTAGGAATACTAATATTGAAAGAATACCTGAAAGTATTTGTAGCCTGACGAAGCTGCATACATTGGACCTCTCACATTGCTATTTGTTGAAAATATTACCAGAAAGTATAAGTGCAATTGGTAGTTTGAGGTTTCTTTATTTAAACGGTTGTGGCCTTGTTTCTGCAATACCTCAGCTCGGTGGCATCACCATATCATTACCACACTTTGTGGTGCGTGCTGCTGCTGATGGATCTAGCAGCAATCTTGTCCTGCTAAAGCCCACAAATCCTTTTGAGCTGGAGATAACTGAACTTGAAAATGTGAAGTCCGCAGGAGAGGCACGTAGTATAAAATTAATGGAAAAGCAAAGAATTCGGGAGTTGAAACTGGAGTGGACTCGAGGTGTTGACAGATTTGTGGATGACAAAATGTTGCTGGAAAAACTAGTGCCTCCAAGCACATTGAGTGAATTGGAAATATGTGGTTATAACAGTGTCATCTTTCCAGGCTGGGTAGTGGGCCAACTACCAAACCTAGACTCATTGGTTCTCAGAGATATGGCAAATCTGGAAGAGTGGGACACTCCATGCTCCACCGGTGAGGAGAATGTGCTATCAGAAGTGCAAATACATGGTTGCCCAATGCTAAGGATGAAAGGGCCTCTGCCTAAATCTGAAAAATGGGAGATAATATCCAGTGATAATGTGTTATCATCATGGGATGAGTGCATTGTGTCACACACTAGTGCTTCTTCCTCTTCATCTAGAGTAACTACTTGTGGTAGGACTAGGGTTCCTACCGACTCTGCTCCTTAGGTTGTAGGGGCAGGACAGCGAGGGTTGGGGCCGAGGGCGGCGGCTCCGGCGCGTTGGCGCCGTCGCGAGGGAGGAGAAGGGCGGCGGCGGCTAGGGCAAGGTGCGGCTAGGGTTTCCGGCTCCTCTGAAGCCGGGCAATAGGATAGAACTATCTTTATTGCTTAACTCCAAAAAGAGTCTTACAACCTATATTTATAACCTAGATAACTTGCATAAGAATTAACCTAAGATAACTTGCATAAGAATTAACCTAAGATAACTTGTGGGCTAAGATTGCCCGGTGGGCCTCTACGGCCGTAACACTTCTCCCCGCCTGCACAAACAGCTCTTCCTCGAGCTGTAAGGTGGGGAAGCGCTGGCGGAACTCCTCGGGGTGATCAACCAGCGTCAAACACCTTCTCGACAGCTGGGGCGGCCAGGTCGGCGGCGACGGCGTCCTCCGGAATGTAGTCTGCAACCTCCAGGTAGAAGGGTCGCGGGCAGGCATGGCCGGGCGTGTAGGGCTCGTCGCAGTTGAAGCACAATCCTTGGTGGCGACGCTCGAGGAGCTCGGCTGAGGTGAGCCGGCGGAACGGGCGTCCCGCGGTCGCGGCGAGGGGTGCCGCAGAAGCCTGCACAGGCCGACCCTGCGCGGAATCCGGCCCTGGTAGCGACCCAGTGGTCCGGGACGGTGATTCCTGCTGGATGGTCACCGCGCGGCGCTCGAACGCGCGGGCGTAGTACATGGCCGACTGGAGATCCTGGGGTTCGCGAAGCTCCACGTCGACGCGAATGTGATCCGGAAGGCCGCCGACGATGAGCTCACCCCGCTGTAGGGCCGTCACACTTGGCGCGTGACTCGCCAGGGCCTGGAAGCGGTCGGCGAAATCCTGCACCGTGGAGGTGAAAGGTAGGCGGCCCAACTCGGCCAATCGGCTACCGCGTAATGGCGGTCCGAAGCGAAGAAGGCACAGCGCGCGGAAGCGCTCCCAGGGGAGCAAGCTGCCCTCGTCCTGCTCGAGGGCATAGTACCATGTCTAGGCGGCCCTGTGGAGATGGTAGGAAGCCAGCCAAGTGCGCTCCGACGCGGGTGTGCGCTGCCCGTGGAAGAACTGGTCACACTGGTTGAGCCAGTTAAGCGGGTCGTCCGAGCCGTCATAAGTGGTGAAGTCGAGCTTGGCGAACCGGGGTGGCTGCTGGTTTGGCGCGCCATGGCCCACTGCCTCGGCGGTGCGGAGAGCTGATGACGGTGCTTGGTCCATGGTTGGAGGGCCGGCATAGGTCCCCGTGGCGCCCAACACCCCGGGCTGCAACTGGGAACCCGACGGCTCCCGGGCCTCCGTGTAAATCGGTGGAGGCGATGTCCCGTGGAGCCAGCCCGGAAGCGGAGATGGCCACGATGGGAACCGGACCTCCTAGATCGAAAGACCGCCTGGCGCGGACCGGCCCAGGCTAGGGCTGGGCGGTGGCGGCGGCGGAACCTGCACTGTGGCCGCCGGGAGGGACGGTGAGGTGGTGGATGGCGCGGCCCAGGCCGGCCACTGCGGGCCCTGGGCGGCTGCTGGCGGCGCGGGTGGCGCCGCGAGCGCTGGCGTCGGCCACTGGGGCCAGGGTGGCGTGGAAGCGGCCGGCGATGGTAGCGCCGGGTAGCCCCCGGCAATGGCCGCAGGGACGGAGTAGGCCGGCCACTGCGGGCCCTGGGCGGCTGCTGGCGGCGCGGGTGGCGCCGTGAGCGCTGGCGTCAGCCACTAGGGCCAAGGCGGCGGCGGAGCCGCCGGTGAGGGCAGCGCCGGGTACCCCGATGATGGCCGCGGGGACGGAGTACCATGGCAGCGCCGGCTGTCCCGTGGTCACGGCCGGATGGAGCTGCAGGGGCGGCCCGTACGGGCTAGCCAAGTAGAGGCGGATGCCCTGGACCGCGATGACCAAGTCGTTGAGCACGCCGGCCATGGCCTCCGGCGTAAACTGCTGCCGCACGGGGGAAGGCGACGGCGGTGCATGTTGGATGGGGGGTGGCGGCAGGCCGTGGCCCAACGCGGTGCCGGGTGCGGGGAAGATCGGCACCGAGAGCGACGCCGTGGCGCCCACCGAGAGCGAGGCCGTGACGCCCGACGATGAAGCGGCAGCGGTGGTGGAGTTGGCGGCAGCGGCGGTGGTGGAGTTGATGGGCAGCGGCGGTGGTGGCGGAATTGGAGGCGGCGAAGACATGGTTGAAACCTGGGTACCTGATACCAAATTGGTAGGACTCGGGTTCCTACCGACTCTGCTCCTTAGGTTGTAGGGGCAGGACAGCGAGGGTTGGGACCGAGGGCGGTGGCTCCGGCGCGTTGGCGCCGTCGCGAGGGAGGAGAAGGGCGGCGGCGGCTAGGGCAAGGTGCGGCTAGGGTTTCCGGCTCCTCTCGAGCCGGGCAATATGATAGAACTATCTTTATTGCTTAATCCAAAAAGAGTCTTACAGCCTATATTTATAACCTAGATAACTTGCATAAGAATTAACCTAAGATAACTTGCATAAGAATTAACCTAAAATAACTTGTGGGTTAAGATTGCCCGGTGGGCCTCTACGGCCGTAACAACTTGGTTGTCAGTTAGAGACTGCAAGGTGCCTCTGCATGAGCGGAGGTTGCTTCGACACTTTCCTGGACTCCCTTCTTTGTCTATTAACAATTGTGGCGATCTAACCGGCTCACCAGAGATCACCCAACATCTATCCTCTTTGAAGACACTGCGGCTACAAGACGAAGACATGGAAGAACTGCCAATATGGTTGGGTGAGCTCCCATCTCTAAAGAATCTGCATATACAGTATAGCAGTGGTGTAAAGGAGTTGAACGAGAACATGAGGCAACTCATAAAGCTTGAATCGCTAGAACTGGGCTTCTGCCATAGCATATCCGTTGTGCCACAGTGGCTAGGCGAATTGACCTCTCTCAAGAAACTTTGGATATCTAACAATGGATGCTTGAGGTCTTTGCCGGCAAGCATCCAACAACTCACCAGCCTCCAGGAAATAGTACTTTTTAACTGCGATGCATTACAGCACGTGGTTGCTGAAACAGAGGGAAAGATGAAGCTGGCTGACAACCAACAAAGGGAATCTGCTCTGCCCACCTCTCTAAAGAGTCTTTATCTGACTGGATGTGATGGTATCAAGTCTTTTCCTGAGGGAATACATCAACTCACTAACCTACAACACCTAGAAATAATTAGCTGCCCTGGACTAAAGGAATGGTGTGAATTAGAGGAGACCAAGACCTTTCTGGCTCGCATAGAAAAGAAGGTATGTACCCTGCCACGCCCTTTGTCATTCTAATCTTATTTTGCAATGCTTCATCTTTCTTCTTTTCTTGATGTATTCAGTCTTGCATTTCTAGGTGGGTTCTTTCATGCATAAATGCTGAGAAATTCGTGTACTTGGATTTGCAATTTCCCTTTTGTTCAAAAGTGCCTTGTTTTGCGAAATATAACAATAGTGCAAAGACGAGTAGTCTAATTTCTAGAGTTCGCCTTGTTTTGGGAATTTGTTTGCAGTACAGGCCAGTGAGTTAAACTTTTCTTCTTGATCTGAACAAAGCATGTTTCTCCTGTATATAGAACCTGCACTTATCACTCATATCCACTAGAATCGGATCTAATCATATAATTTCCACCATTCATTTTACAGAGGATTGAGTTCTAGACAGTGCATGCATATACTGCCCAATCAGCCTGCAAGATTTTGTTCTGGATGATTTAAAATGTTGGAGTTGAAGAAGGAGCTGAAATTACAAGCCATGGTGACGTGAAACTCGTTTGCAAGACCTGCAGCATGTGACTTTGAAGCTGCAGGCCATCGCCTGTACTAGTGTTTTGTTCTATAGGGTCTCGAAACTCAATGTAGAGTCCTCTCCCCCACCCTTTCTACTTTGTGCTTAGTTTGCAGGTATATGTTCCCTGCTCCTTTCACCGCCTCTCTGTTTTTGTATGTTTACCAAAGGGAAGATTGCAGTACTTGTAACGTCTGTGATTTCCATTTATTCGGACCCGGTGAGCGTGGTAGGTACTCGCTTG